CTGTTAACTGACAGGTTTGACCCCACTAGCTGCTGCTCCTGTGGGGATTGACAGTGTCGGAAACACCGTGCAGCAGCCCGTTCTGTCCCATACGGTCGTTAGGCACAGCTGACTTGGTGGCGGTGGGTTTGCATGGGTCACGGACATCAAGGTGTAGGCTGATTTTTGTTTACTACTCCTGGGGTCCATCTGCCCTAGGAATGCTGGCATTCCTGGTGGTGATGTAATGACATGTGACATGTAACAACAGTCACGTTATATGTACCTTTAATTTTGAAAAATACATGCAAATATTTATTTTGTGTAGATTCCTAAGACCACGTGACGTTAACTTACTACACTCATCTCATTGTGGTGCCCACACGCCACCATGCGTGCTTCCCAGGTGTTTGTCCTCACCGTACACGGCAGCATTGTTTCTTCCCACCGTGTACGGTTATTCTACTTCGTAGTCAGGTTTTCGTGGAGCCCTATGGCATAGTGGTTATACAGAGTCAGCAGTTCAAACCCACCAGCCAGCTCTGGGGATGAAAGCAAGGCTTTGTAAAGAGTTACCGTTTTGGAAACTCAGGGGCAGTCCTACTCTGTTAGAATTGACTCAGGAGTGGTGAGTTTTTGTTCAGCATTTTAATTGATTAATGTGGTGGGCACTGTAAATGCCAGCTAAGGCACAGGGACTCTAATCATCTTTGTTTCTTAAAGCTGCTCAGATATCAAAATAAGGGTTTTTCGATTATAGATGCGGGGGGGAGTCAAGCCCTTTGTGTTCCAACATTAACCTAGAAGTGGCTATGGAGGCCAAAATGACTCTTTACATGCTTGGTGATGGCTTTTGTGGATGTCAGGAAGCTATACTCCCCAGAGAACTGTCCCAGGTCAGAGGACAACTAGGGATAAAACCTGGATTAGTGGCTAGGAGACTTCCTTCCGAGCCCCGGGCTGCTGCTGGCATGTTGGCCTCCTGACAGACCCTGTAAATGTGGACGGAAAGCAGGGAGCTCGGCCTCAGCCGTAGAACAACCTCAGGGTCCTCACTGTGTGCATCCGGGACTGGAGGACCAGTGTCCACTGCGGCTACTAGAGCGGTGGGTGTGAGATGTGTAGTTTTCTCTCGGTGGTTATAAGCCTTTGTAGTCTCACTCTCAAGCTCTAATTGAGTGTTTGGACGATGTTAATTATAAGGATGTTAATTATAAGGACCGGTCTGAATATTATCCAGCCGTAGGCTATTAGCTAGTCGATGGAAGTGATGGCTAAGGTAGTGAAGGGTGTGATGCTGAGATGTTCTCTTTGGACCACAGCGTTCCCTGCCGTCCACTTTTTCTGTGACCCAGATCAGGTCTAGCTAGGAAGACCTTCAAAATCGTCACCAGGTAGAAACGCCTGCTATTCTTTTCCCAGCCCCACTGCCAGCCACGCCAACCCTATAGGGCAGAGTAGACCACCCCTTTGGGTTTCTGAGACGTAAATATTTATGGGAAGGGACAGCCTCATCTTTCCTCCTCAGAGTGGCTAGTGCGTTTGAACTGCTGGCCTTATGGTTAGCAGCTGTCTTCCCTGCTAGACCAAAGTTCCATAATGGTGAAGATGTTCTCTGCTGTGTTTCTCATACATGGCAGTGCTCAAACACTTGCAAAATTAACTGAGGCATCATTGTATCACGTAGATGATTTCGGATATTGAAAAGAAAAGGCAGCGTTTGATTGAAGCCCAGAACGAACTGCTTCGGTAAGATGGGATCCGAATTCATGGTATAATACTGGGTGCATTTGGGAGGAACGGAAGGGAGTGACGTGCTGTAGTCAAATGCCCTAGCTTTGGATAGCCATGAAGAAGGTAGGTTATGCTCCTAGTTGTAAAACCTTGATCAGCAGAGAACTCTGTAGACCTCTTGTGCCAGCAGTGTCTGGACTCTGGCCTGAGAGGCAGCGCACATGTATGATTGAATGCACAGGTTGTAGAACCTGCCTCTTGTGACTGTGCGACCTTGGGTGAGCAAACCTCCCTGGCCCTCAGAGTCCGCATCTGTAAGATGGGCCTAACAGTCATACCTGCCACCTCATGTGTTCGGAGAGTGAACCGAGCAAACCTGTAGAAAGTGCCCCAGGGTGATGGCATACACGAAGTGCTATGTCTGTGTTAACCACCTTTTTTTAAATGAGGTCGGTAAACCCCTTGCTAAAAGCTGGGCCAGGAGCAATTCCCAGGCCTCCCAAGCCAGAGCTGCCCCCACGTCTGTGAAAGAAATCGTGACACACACCCCCAGCCTGTTGAGCAGCCTGTAGTTCTTGGTGCTCTTCTGGGAGGCCCAGTGGCCACGAGAGCTGGAGTGTGGCTAGTCCCGCAGTAGCCATCGACTTCCGCTCCGCCAGAGCCAGCTTTAACAGCCCTGGGCCACAGTTACCATCACCTGGAAAGATGGTGCGAACCGAGCGTAGGTTCTAAAGAAGAGACTGCCACAGGGATTTCGAGAAAGGAGAAATTGGTTCTCTGGTCCATTGGTCTTCATGTCGCCCCTGTAAACGGGTGTTGGCCCATGATCAGGTTCACTGACCCAGGCCAGAATAAGAAACAGAAAGGCAATATAATGCCTAACACTGAAAAGCTTTCTGTGTGCCAGACGCAGTCCTAAATTATTTTGTATAGTGACCCATTCATCTTCACTATAATCCTGAGGCAGTTATCCGGTAAGAGCTGGTTTAGTAGAATTTTCATCAGCGTTGAGACCGCTCTGACGTATTTGAAAGAGCAGCCTCTCGTTCCTTTTCTGGGTGTGATTTTCGATGTTGAGAAGCCTAATCAGAAAGGCATAGGAGAAAGAAATGTGGTCTGTCATTGTCTAAGACATGAACAAGCTACCCCGGGGTGGTAGCTTACTCACACACTGAGCAGGCAGGGCTGGGTCTTTCTCAGAAGGCTGGGTTTATTTCAAGAACTGCTCACATTGACTTACAAAGTTACAGCACTAGATCAGTTCCTTTTCCCCCACCGTTATCCTCACCCCCACCACTCGAATCCCTTGCACTTTAAAAAATGGGTCCATGGAAGTGTCGAGATCCCTGTCCTGCTCGGAGTCCCAAAGAGCACTTGAAGCGTGTTACAGCGCTCAAGCATTGGATGCTCGACAACCGGTCAGGTGTTTTTACGGCAAAGGCACTGAGAAGACGGAGCACATGTTCGCCTGATCGGTGACACCAGAGGCCTCTTCGTGTTCATTGTCACATCTGATGAGGCCAAGACAACTCGCTGCCGCCTGGAACCCAGGACTCGGGAGAACCGAGGCGTGCCTTTGCAGTGCGTTCTCCTAAGAAGGAGCTTCTTCAAAGATTTCACAGTTGGCCAGGCCCAAGTGGGCCTAAGTGGATGAGAGCCGGCTGGGACAAGATGGCACGGAGGGCAGTGCAGGCCGTGCACCTGGAGTCGGGCACGTTCGTCTGCCTCAACCACTCTCTGAGCACCGAGGAGGAGGTGTTGGGGTTATGCATCGGCGAGTTGATTGTTGATGTAAGGCATGACTCCAGACCCGCACACGAGCGAAAGAGCCAGCCCTTGGTGAAGAGGCTGACACAGAGAAGATTGTTCACATCCATTTTGTCACCATCATGCAACGTTCTATGAAAGGAGCCGCCGCGTGGAGATTTCTCCAGAGCTGTTGTCTGAGGCTTCAGTAGAAGCAGAGAGATTGGCCGAGCTCACAGGTCTCCCCATGAGAATTGTGGGCTGGCACCATTTCCATCCT